GATCTTCCACAGTCTTCTTATCAGTTAGTGCAGCGTATTCCTGTCTTCTCCCATCCCACTCACAGTCTGAAGTATATAATCCAGTCCACCAGAATCAAAAATATTACTCCATTGTGTATTCACTTTGAACGGCTTGCTTAGTTCCCTGTTGTGGATCACCTGACACGCGTCACTGTCACATAGCCAGATGTTGAATGAGGTTGATAAAGATTTGGGGCACTGTATTCGGTAGCGTTGAAGTAGTTTTCAAATTACCTCTCAGTCAACGCTACCTGATGAAGGCCCTTACCAAGTCGATAAAATTGAGGTAAGAGACAGGGGTTTCACAGCCATTCGATGCTTCGTTTTTTTTGATGAAGATACATAGAGCTGCTGTTTGGATCAGCATATGATTTTTCTTTCCTGAATACAGCCAGCTTGTTCTGGGCTGGTTAACAGCAGTGCTATATTTATATCATGAATTCACAGACGTAGAATTCACAAGCCTTCACATTCCATCTCAACAACTGAATAGTCAACCGGTTGATCTCATAGCATAACATCATAGATTCCTCTTGAAAAAGTGAAATTATTCAGATCCCCGTGTGTGACTGGCTTAATACTATAAATCTCCATCAGAAGAGCTAGCATAAATCTATAAGACTTTATATATACACTACTGATCGATCGATATAAGTAGCTGAACACTATCCACTGTGCGTCGGTGGCACAGTGATTAGGACTCTCGCCGACCATGCACATGGTCCGAAGTTCGATCCCCGGGGGCCGCTATCAATTACTAGCGCTTGCTATTTACCCTCATAAATTGTTTAGCTTGCTTACTCTTGATAGCCATATCATATTATCAGGAGTATAGATTACATATATTGTAATTTGAATAATTTCACTTTCTCGTAACTTAAAGGTCCTGGCTTCCAGTCATCGATGGGTTCATGGATGCATGCATTGATGAAATATGTCGACATGTAGATACTACTCGGTTTATCAACAAGGTATATAACAGATACTGAATTTTGCTATGGAAAATGAAAAATGATGGAAAGTTTTACTTCCTTGACATTGACAAGCTTAGAAACATGGTATTCTTCAAAGGTCAATTCAATGGAAGCCAACGTGAAATGAACGAAACTTTGAATAGTTTTTCTCCAAATAGCTATAAAAAAACTAGTTAAGACTTTGTTCGACAGAGTCAGTAGAATAGCTATAAAAATAACTTTAAGACTTTGTTCGACAGTCAGGAGAATTTGAAATACAATGAAAAATGTGAACGCTCAAATGGATGCAGAACTCCACCTTGCCAATCCTACCCCCCTCCCTGGAACAAACTGTATCCTGGTATATCCGTCATGCATGGATCAGATTGCAACTCTACGCATCATTCTCAGACGAAGCATAGAATGCCAGTCAAACCCCTCTTCACCTTAATTTCATCGAATTTAAGAAACACTTCGATAGCGTTGACAGTGCAGTGATCCAACCTCATTCAACATCTGGTTATATATGACAATGTCAAATGTCAGATTATCTACAACAGAAAACATAATGAGGCGTTCAAAGCGACTACAGAATGGAGTATGACAAGGCTGCTTGTCCATTATCACCCACGATCATATTTTTCAATTCTGGTGGACTGTGAGTAGGGCGTGAGAAGTCAGGAATACGCTGTACTGACTGATAAGAAAACTCTGCATGTTCTGAATTTCTTTGGTTATTTAAGTCCAATATCACACAATCTTGAAGAAATACAAATGAAAACCGATAAGTGGGTTATAGAAGCAGCAAAGACAGAACTTGAAATAAACTTAGAAGTGACGAGGGCTCTGAAACATGGCCAATACGCGTTGAAGACATGAAAAGGTTGACTGCTTTCGATCATAGATGTCTGCGATCTCTGTCTCACGTTAGGTGGTTTCACAAGGTAAGTAATGTTGACGTTAGGCGTAGAGTGTTGGGCAAACAGGGAAAATCAATCGACGAGGCAATAAAGTTACATAGACTGAGATGGCTAGGTCACGTGGTGCGCATGCCTAACCATTGCCTCCCCCGACCACGGGCATTACTAGCTGATATAGGTGCAGGTCGGAAAAGAGCCAGTGGTGGCCAAACAAAAACATGGCCTCATCAATCCATGAAATCCTTGACAGTTAAACTGAGTCGGTCAGGTAGGGAGATGCAGACTCCCGGGTTGGGGCCCTCGGGACTCTAGGAATCAATGGCTGGAGACAATGGGTGACATGGCTCAAAGTGGTCGTTGTCAATGGCCAGCGAAGATGTATTCAGTCTCTGTAATCTTTCATATTCCTTTCTACCATTACCCATTCTGTTTCACTCTTATACTTGTCAAACTCTATTGATTCTCTTCACTCATCTTCTTGTCTGTGTGGTATTTGGAAGATGGCAACTCGAACTGGTGCACTTCGGTGTCAAGTTCTATGTTGAATCCAGACAGAGAGACAGACAGGGTGAGGAAGTTAACCAACCAACCAACCAACCAACAGCAACAGCAACATCAACAACAACAACAACCACTAGCACCAATCACCCACCACCAATGGGAGAGATTTAACACAGGTGACCTGCTTCATTTATCTAGAAAGCATCGTTTAAACTACAGGCAGATGGCATGGATGAAAATGTCAATGTCAGAATCAGAATGACCACTCTGACGTCAGTCTGGAATTTCTTATCAACATAAATAACAAAATTCATTGTGCTTTTCAACATTAATATTAAGTTAAATCATCCAAACGAGTCAGAAATTTACACTGTGCGTCACAAAAAGCATTTCCAGCAAGATATTGCAGACTTTTGTCAACAGCAGCCCTCTAAACTCCATACTGAAGATCAAATGGCTGGCCAGTCACAAAGAATTAGCAACAAGAAACTATGGGAAAAAAGCAACCAAGAACTTATTGTTCAACAAATATGTAGAAGAAAGTAGAGATGGATTGGGCACACTCTGGAGAGACCGTCGAATGACATCGGACTTCAGGCGAACCCAAAACAATAAGGAAACAATAAGTTGGTCACCACTTTGATGGCGACATAGACAAAGACATGTGAGGAGGGAATGACAGACAAATGGCAATCGTGGGACGTCAGAGATCAGGGTAAAGTGGAGATTTCCTGTTGAAGCCTGTATGTTCAACTAGTAGTAATAATAATTTGCTTGATTCCAAAACAGTACTTGTGAATACAGAATGGAATTCTCAGAATTTCACCACATACACTATTGCATCCAGTTAGTACATTATCAATAAATAAAATTCTACATAAATTAAGGGTAATCTCAGGTAGTTTTGTTATATCGGTAGCAAAGCCAAAATTGAACAGAGTGTTTGAAGGTGTTAGAAAAGTAGACACTACTAGCATATTTACTGGCGTAAACGGTAACAAAAATGTCGAGATCTACAGAGTGTGAAACAACGAAGAAGAATGTTTTAAGTAGAGTTTGTAAGGAAGAGAGAAATAAAACAGCACAAAGCAAAAAAAAGAGAGAGAAAAGGAAAAGAAAGAAAGAAAAACGTTGTATCTATAAATGATATGAGGAGTTGGAAAGACGAGATCCAATTGTTCTACTGACTATTTAATAAGTAAAAGGTTTCACGCCTAATGCTTTCTTTATCGCACAGAACACGAGCTAAGTAGGGTATGGATGAGTTTTTGTACTTCCTAGTGCGAGCATATAGTTTTCTATATAGGCTTCTGGTCTTATGGCCTGATGAGATAGATACATGGGGAGAATTGTGAATGAAGCGGGTGTTGTGAGTTAGATAGATACAATGGATTTAGCCCATTTTTCACATCATTCCATGTGCCTGTCGACCAGAATATAAACGGACTGGTTAAATGGTACGTAGCTTACCACCCTGCTGAAAACCTTTAACATCCTGTGTAATAAGGCATAGTCTTTCTTCAGTAGCCCTGGAAAAACTTAGGGGAACAATAGAGAATAATAGGCAGGATGCAAGAGTTAACGAAGTGTAGGAGTAAGGGTTGGGTTATACCAGAATGTCTTAACTTCTTGATGTAGAAGGTAAGACGGAATATTTTCTTAGAAATCATCAAGATATCAGACGACCAGAACAGATCAGCAGATAGAATGACGCCGAGATATTTAATTTCCGACTTGGTCTCTGTTTCAGTGCCATCAATGTTGCACACCTCTTAAGTGCTAACCAGTTTGTTTAGGTCAGGTTTATGCCTAAAGGTGAAATTGACTGTTTGACATTTAGGGGAATTTAAGGTATGACCGTTTTCCTTGGACCATTGGCTGATTTCTGATAAAAAGCCATTTAGTTTAGAGCAGTCACTTTGAAATTTGACAGGCAAAGACACAGTCAGGTCGTCGGCTTAACAATAATAATAATGATGATAGCGAAACAATAATAATTATGACAATCAACAATTTGTAAAACTTTCCTTTCGTGTCGATGAAATGCCTTAAAATCCAACAATATTTAACAGTACATTGCTTAGTGAGTGGTAACTAGTAGTGGAATCTAGTATGCTGACTTCTTACTATTCTGGGAACTTGTTAAATGGATATTCCTGAGTGTTGTGTTTCGGATCTGAGTAGGAACACCATCATTCACTGAGATTTGATAACAGCTTGATTTCACACTGTGTTTTTTTGTACAAGTATGGAATTTTCAGCGTGGATATCAGTAGCCCACATTTCGTAGGCCGACTATAGATATATATCAGGTGTGCATCGGTAGGCGATCGAACCTCGGACCATGTGCATGGTCGGCGAGAGTCCCAGCCACTGTGCCACCGACGCACCGATGTACATCTAACCGATGAGTCTCAGATGAGACGAACTCTACATCCTCAACTTCACTAATATTCACCATCATTCAAGATAACTTCATGTATGTCCTAAAACATGATTAATCTGTCCATACTTGGAGCTGATATCTCAACAGAGAGTGGAAATTTCGCTTCAAAGTTAATCGGTCAGAGGGAAAGCAATTCATTAATTAATTTTCTTTACTTACGCAGTCTCCAGTTTTTCAAGTGCCAATTGATTTTTCTCTGTCTCCCATGCCGTTTCTCGATAGACTAAATCGACTGCAGCTTTACGATCCTTAAGTAGATCATTACGAATTTGAGGAACTAAGTTAAACTCCTGAAAAAGACAAGCATTCAATGAAATAAATGGATAGTTTTTGATAGGCTGCAATAAAAGGGTGACCTCACATGATGTAAAAGAAGGATTATTATTATTATTATATCCTTTAATTCCTAGAGGAACATAGGGCCTCAGCTGCGCGTCTCCATTGCCTTAGGTTTTCTGTCAACTTTTTCACTACGCTCCAAGTCTGCCCACACGCCTTCATCTCCTCCTCATATGACCTCCTTCAAGTCACCCTTGCACTGACAACCAACTCGCCACTTCCCTTTCGGGTTCCACTCGAGCAATGGCTTGTCTAGTGACGTCACTTGATGGTTTCCTCAGCGTATGACCAATCCATCTCCATTTCTTCCTGCCTATTTGTTTCACAATCGGTTCCTTGTTGGTTCGCTCATTGCCAGAGATCCCCTGTTGCTGATCTTTTCTGACCGGCCATCTGATCTTGAGCATTGAGCGAAGACATCTGTTAATGAAGGTCTGTAGTTTGTTTGAGATGCTCTTTATGACGCACTGGCCAAGTCTCTAATCCGTATAGTATAAGTAGCACTGACTTCACATTTGAGTTGAAAATCCGGATCTTATATTTGATGCTGAGTGCTGTTCACCTCCAAACAGACTTAAGAGTAATGAAAGCGTAAAAGAAGGATAATAGATGAATTTTACTTACCATTTAGTTTTAGATCTAATACCACAGAACAACTGATTTTACAACCAAAAGTTCAGCGATCATGACTGTTAGGAATGACAGGAAGGCTATACGTTGAATCAACACGAAGAGTGTAGGAGATTTCGACTTAGCAGATAATTTATATCTAATTTCGAACAAACTGAAGAATCAACGGGTGAAAATCAACAAGCCAACAGGAATAGCAGTGAGAAAAGGACTTCAAGTGAGCATAGAGAAGACAGAGGTAAAATGAAGATTCCTTACCAGCAAGAACAACAAATATCAATCAATATCAACGGGAGAAATGTACAGGGAATTCACCTTTGTCACTCACTTGACCTGGTCAGCATCGTTCTAACTACAGTTAGAGGCATAGAAAAGCATGTCAAAGCCAGTCAGCATTTGGGAAAGTCAGACAGACATGTATTCCTCTGAAGTCACTGTGGAAATCTGCTGCACACAGCATAACAGTAATACGATTTGGATTTTCATCCCTAGTGTGAAGTTAATGTGCCATGAAAAGTATTTTCAGAAGGCTACTGCTGAATACATTTTAACATTATTTATTATCCTCCCGTGATTGGACTGGAGGTAATAATATCTTCCATATCTCTCGTATAAACGATGATAAGTCACTTCTGTTCCATGTGTTCTGTTGGGTGTAGACTCAATGAACCAGGCAGGTTTCAGTAATCAATTTGTTCTCCCAGAGTATGGCCAATCCACCTCCATTTCTTCCTGCATATTTGTTGCCCATTTCGTGTATAATCGTCAATGACACCCCGTTGCAGCGAAGCGGTTTCCGAAGCATCTCTCGATCAACGCTGTCTGCTGAAATTCCTTCCAAAGTGAATGAAGCTGAGGTAGAGAGCTAGCCACCATTCCAAGCTCCGTTCAACGAGGATACATAGTGTTGTAATTTGATCGACGCATGACTTGTTTCTCCTGAACACAACCTGTTCTGGTCGAAGTTTTCATCCAGGAAGGCATGTTTGATTCTCTCCAGGATGATGTGCGGCTTAGTATTTTGCTTGGGATGGACAGGAGCATAACGCCGTGCCAATTCTTGCATTGGCTTAAGTCTCCTTACTTGGCAGTTTGAATAGGTATCCTTTCTTCTAACCTTCTCCAGTAGTGGTGTCATTAACTCCGATGTTGTCTCTGGGTCCATTTTCAATGCTTCCGCTGAGATTCCATCTGGTCCTGCTGCTTTTCCAGCTTTCAGCATTTTTATTTCCTTCAGGATTTCTGTTTTCGTCGGAGGGATGGTATCCACTGGTAGTTCTGCTTCCATTGTTGGTATTGTTGGGCGCATTGTAGGTGGCGGTTGATTTAGAAGTCTTTTGAAGTGTTCAGCCCAGTGCTTTCTCTGCTGCACCTCTTTGGTGATTGACTTTCCATTGTCATCCTTTACTGGCTTTATTTATGTTGATCTTTTCCCCGGTAGGAACCTAATTGTTTGGTAGAGTGTTTCGGGGTCTCCTTTGCCTGCAGTTTATTAGGTTTCACTTGCCATAGCTTCATAATATTGTATTTTGTCTTCCCTGGTACTCACCTTTATTCTTTTGTTCAGTGTATCGTAGCTTGCATTCAACTCCTGCTTTTGTTGTTCGTCTTTTGTTTCACCATCCTTCTGTCTTCTATTAATCTCCATGTGTCCGTGGTGAGCCGCTGTTTGTCTTGTCTCTTCTTTCTGCCCAGAACTTCCATACAGGTTTGACTCCACACCGCTTTCAGGTTGTTCCAGTGCTTTTCAACGTTGATTTGTATCTCCGTCTTTCTCCTTATGACTGCAATGAAGATGTCTTTTGTAGCCTGATCCTTCAGTTTTTGAGCATTGAGCTCACAGACGTGGAGGCAGGTGAAAACTTGGCTGAAAAGCGAAAGCAATGGGGACATGTGGCTGAAGCTCAATGTTCCTCTAAGAACTAAAGGAAACAATAATAATAATAATTTAATCCTGACAAATTGTTGAAGATCAGCGGTAAAGTCTATCGGAGCGGTTGTCATAGTTTAACTTCTCGACTAAATTATTGTGGGTTATGATTCAGATGTTTAAGAATCATCTCCTGACTTGTTTAGCCGCAAACAATAGCAGTTTTTTTTTTAAAAAAACCCAATAAACATTCAAGAAAAACGTACCGAAATAGGTAAACGAATTCTTTCTGGTAAACGTTCATTACGATCTTTGAGTTTTTTAAAACGTCTTCTTAATTCAGAAACTTTTAGTCTAGTTTCCGCTTTCTTCTGCTCTGCCAATTCAACTAGACGATCATATTCTGACTTCTGTTTATATTCTTCAATACTATACGCTTTAGGATCAGTAATATCATCAACTTTTACACTGGTATCCTGTGAAGGAAAATAAAATAAAACAAACTTCAGAGTCAATATTAATCAATATTTTTGGGTAGTACTCTTAGGAATAAGACTAAGAATGCTCCTAATGTTAAAAGAGAATTTTGAGATTATAGTAGAATACGATTCGATAGTAGACAAGTTTATTCTGTAGTGAGAGCTGTCTACATCCCGAATCACGGTCATGAGAGAAAACCAATAACAAAGCTTAGCCTTAAAGAACTCAACAACCAATCATTATCAGACGTAACGTGTGAAAATACAATTCGTAGATACATGGCTTAACTTTCTGAGAAACGGTCAGTCACAAGCAGTACACAATAACCTTGAGCAGAAAAACAACCAATCAGAAGACGTCGCGTCTCTGATAATAATAATAATAATGAATAATAATGTACATAAAAATCTACAAATATCTATTGATTTTCTGAATAAACGATCTGTTGCCTGACCCGTCTCTTCTGTCGTTATAAATATTAATTTTTATTAAATGCAAATAAAAACTTACAAATGTTGATGGAATTCTTGCACGATATTCTTTGATTTCTTTATCTTGTAATTCTTCTGTCATTAATTCACAGACAAATAGAGTTCCATCACTTGCAGCACTTAATAGAAATCTTTAGGATAAAATATAACAACAAAAAAGAATGATTAAATAAATAACTGGTAATAGAATAAAGTGGAAATCAGGCTATAGATATGATGTAGAAGATTTTTGTAGCTCAAGTGGATGATTTTGATGTGATTGTGTTCTTTGAGCTAGAGAGTTTATTTGTGCGCAGCTTTCATTGCTCCCCCACCCCCTTCTCGGCAACATCAATGTCAGGCACTTGACTTTACTTTCAAGCATCGACGTGACTCACTTGAACCAGTTAGCTCGCATGATCCCTGTAGCATAGATGGCACGGAAATTGAAACCAAATCAAGCATTAAATACCTTGGATTAGTTCTTTCCTCTGACCTTTCATGGTCATCCCATATCTTATCTATCTCTAAGAAAATGTTTCCTCTTACCTTCTACATTAAAAAGTTAAGACAATCAGGTATCAACCAACCTTTAGTTTTGCAATTTTTAAATTCCTGTATTTTACCTATTGTACTCTATTGCTCTCCATTAATCTTTCCTGGGCTTCTCAAAAAAGACTTAATCATATTACGAAGAGTATTAAATGCTGTGAGTAGAGCTTGTGGTCTGCCACTGCATGAGCTCGCTAATACTATAGTCGAGAGGCATATAAATTCCTGTACGAAATGGGCAAAGGCTATACTGTCAGACCCTCTGCACCCCCTTTATTCCCACCTGTCCCCTTGTATCTCATCAGGTAGGACGAGAAGTCAATATAAAAAGTTATATGCTCGTACCACTAAGTATAGAAATTCTACAATACCCTATTTAGCCCGTACTTTATGTGACGAAGACTCTGTTAGACGTGAAACACATAAGTTACTATGTAATTAGCACAGTGAATCGACCCTTTCATCGTTCATCTTTCTGTATTTTATGGTGTCACACTTTCTATCGTTTAATCGTCACTCTGCTATTTTATTTTAGTTGGTATTACTATTATTACCACAATTTTGTACTTTATGCATATTTTTCTCCGTATGTCATACAGTATTTTGCTATGTAGCTGCTATAACAATCGTTTTATTACTATTATGTAATGTGTATTTTTAATTTTTTTTGTCGTTTTTGAGTAAATTAGATGCAATATTGTACTGAATGCTGAAAATTCCTTGCTGTATCATTAGTACTGTTTTTGGAATAAAGCAAAAATTATTATCATTATTATCTTTAGCGCATACTTCAACTTCCTGAAGTGAGCTTTTAGATTTCTCCACGAGTTTATTAATCATCTCTCCTAGTCGATAACCTTGAACCTCGTGATTGGTTGTTTTTGTGTGTTTTCGCACCCCTTCTAGGCTACTTGTTTACTTCTTCTTTACTACTACTTCTTATCGGTTGGTGGATTTTGTCTATCTCGACGTTTCTATCGATTGTGACTCACTGGAATACCAGGCAGCCTTCTTCAAATTCTCTAGCATTCTTAGTGTTCCCTCTGTCTGAACGTTGGTTGCCTCAGTCGAATTGATGTCTGTGGTTGTCTGTATGTAGCGATATGAGTGAGAAAATGGCTGTCATGTCTTTTGACGGCTAACTTTCCAATCGAAAAGATGGAAACCTCACGCACAAAGGGTCAGAGTTCAAGTCAAGGAAACAATCAGTACCAATACCACAAGTAGCTGCCTAGAAGGTGTGAAAACACACAAAAAACCAATCACGAGGTTCAAGGTCACCCACTAGGAGAGATGACTAATAGTGAATTCGTAGAGAAATCTAAAAGCTCACTTTTATTAAATTGAAGTATGCACTGAAGATGTTCCCTAGAATGGGGGAGGGCAATGAAAGCTTCACAAATTCACTATCCAGCTCAGAGTATACAACTACATCAAAATTCAGGCTATGCTATTCTTCTAGCTCTGTTTTATTGAAATGGAAATTTTGGCATGAATTGACATCTGTTGAAGGGAATTACTGAAAAACAATGGAGCATCAGACGCCTGTTTTACACTCATCTTGTCCTGAATTGAATTCCATCGAAGGGATAATTGGTGGTTGAGTGTATTGACCACTTAACCATTTCGATAAGTTGCCTCAGCCTTAAATGAGCTAACTTCTGAAAAATACTCAGCATGGATACTAAAGAATTGTTTTGGCATTTGTCAATTTACATCATCTTTGGTGAAGATATGAAATGCGACTGTCGATTAGGGGATTTGCGTTGCTGCAAGATGTGGCCATTGACGGTATGATACACATGGATAGGCGAGCTGTCTTTGACTACAAATTTTTTCGTCCTGTCTCCTGTTTTAAGGAGGTATAATATGATGAGTGATGTTTAGGTTAGGCTTGGACTTTTAGCTAAAGAAGGGAAGTCGATCGATTGAGATAGCTAGGACACGTGTTGCACATGTCGGACCATTGTCTTCTCCCACAAGACATGTTAGCTTACATCATTTTAGGTTGGAAAAGAGTTAAGGGTTGTCTAGTGAAGACCTGGCATCAATCCGTGAATTCCTTGACAGTTGGTTTGAGCCAGTCATCTAGGTTAGCGTAGACTGCTATATTGGAGTCCTTTGGATGGAAATAACCAATGGCTAGATGATATATATCAGTGGCACAGCAGGAGAGTGCTCGCCGAGCACGCACGTGGTCCGTAGTTCGATCCCCCATCCGACTCACCCCTGGACTTTGCTAAGCCAGTAGTAAGCTAGGTACAGAGGGAGGGTTGGGCATAAGGCTAGTAACCCCATCCATCCTGTCAAAATGATCACCACTGCTACAGAAGCTTCAAACCTCTAGCTTGAAGCCGCCCTATGTTCCACTGGGAACGTAAAGGAATAAAAAGAAAGATGGTATGTGTGATATGATTCAGAACTGCTTACACTTTTGGAGATGCATTCACTCCAGATGACCTCCTAGATCTATTAAGTCTTCAACTTTCCCTTTTGTGACTATGCTTCCTCTCATACATTTCCGCTCATTATAATTTTCAATGCCCTTCTTTTCTTTAATTTTCTATGGTTACTTGAAGTGCTCCACTTCTGTGCAAAGTTCTATGTTGAAACTTGGCCCGTAAATCATGAATCATGAAATAACAGAGAAGCATTGTAGCTCAGGTGGATGATTTGCAATTATTTGTGTTCTCTGAGCTGATTGATTGAATTGCGGAGCTTTCATCGTCTCCTCTTCTAGACAACAAACCCCCTTCAGTGAAAGTTTTTTGTATAAAATAAACTCATTTGAATTCTCCATAAATGATATAATTATTTCTTCTGGCAACCATCTTCGATTTACATCTTTATTGATCATTTTTTATTGACTTGGATTTTGAACTTTATTGTCATGCAGTGATTTACTTTCTATTAGTTGGTAAATTCGGTTTATAATAATATTGTAACGACAGAAGACAAGGGTCGGGCAACAGATCGTTTATAGAGAAAATCAACAGATATTTATAGATTTTTATGTACATTATTATTCGTTATTGTTAGCAGAGAAGCAGCGTCTTCTGATAGGTTGTTTTCTCCCTGAAGGTTACTTTGTCATCTCTTTTTAGCTGTTTCTTTGAGGGTCAGGCTATATATCTGCGAATCATATCCACCCACGCTAAGTCCACTGTGATTGGTTGTTGATTTCCTCAGGGTCAAGCTTTGTTATTGTTTTATCTCGTGACATTGACGTAAATTGGTGACAACAATTTTGTCTAGCAGACACCTCTCACCTCAATATGTTTGTTAATCGCTGGTTGATTCACTTGAGTACTACCAGGCTTCCAGGAATTCTCTAACAGTATTTTTGGTGTTTCCTGTGTTTAAAATTTCAATAATACCTCAGTCATCAAATTGATGTCCATAATTATCTATATGCATCGATATGAAAGAATACGTATCATGTCTTTTCACAGCTGATTTGTGTTCCTGGATTCTGATTAGGAGGAGACGCCCACTTTGACTTATATAATGTCTGTTACAGTCCATACAGGCAATTTATTTTGTAAGTGGTATTAATTTTATCTTATTTTTCTGTTGTGTGGATCTTTCGGTTTGCACAATATCGAATGAAGTGATTGTGCTGGCTGGCTGCCTGGTTTGTGTGCTATATCTATTTCAAAGGGTTTCAGTATTCTAGCTGTTATTTCAGAGAAGAATATTTCTTTGGTGATGGTTTCTTGTTGGTATTGTGACTAGATTTTAAACACATTTTGATGAAATTAGATAAAATTAATACCATTTACAAAATAAATTGCATGTATGAACTGTAACAGACATTACATCGGCCCAGAGTGAGCGTCCCCTTCGAATAAGAATCGAAGAATACAAATTAGCTGTAAAAAGACATCATATATAATCTTTCGCATCAATGCATGTAGATAATTACGCACACCAATTTGATGACTGGGATAATATCGAAATTTTAGAAACACAGGATACATCAAAAGTGCAGTAAGGGAATTCCTAGAAGCCTGGTACTCAAGCGAATCAACCAGTGATAAAACAAACACATTAATATAGACCCAATTTACCAACTAATAAAAAGTAAATCACTACATGACAACAAAATGCGAATTCCAAGTCAATAAAAAGTGATCATCGGTAGAGATGTAAATCGGCTACCGGACACGAAGATGGTTGCCGCCAGGAGACACAATCCTATCATCATTTATGGAGAATTGAAATCAGATCATTTTTAGCCAAAACTTGCTCTGACGGTGGACGTTGTCTAGAACAGGAGACGACGAAAGCTCCGCGATTAAACCAACCAAAACAAAACTAATTGGTTGCAGGATTTCATCATGAGCTGACGTCGGCTACAGAACTATTGGAAAACCAGCCGGAGAGTACTGGACAGCTGTTTCGTCCTAGTCTAGCACTCTTCGTCAGTGCGCACCCGGCGACATGGTTCGAACCCAGGACCTTCTGATTGCAAGGCCATCGAGCTCATAAATCACTAAGCCACTGGAACCCTATCCAATGGCCCATGAATTCTAACTTCTGTCAATTCACGACATAGAGTCACCACTAGCTAATATCTTTCGTGGCGAGTATTCGTCCTCACACCCAACCTGCTGCACCCTAGTGGTCACGACTTCTCGACTAATTGCAAGTTTTGAATCATGTATACACTCTATTGACTATTATGTGATTCCTCTGCGTAGAGCGGGGGAGGGACAAACGACGTAAGTGAATTATTTAGGCTACCCACCTGACGCTGAACAACTAACTAATCATCAGTTAAAACTATCCATCACTTACTTTTCATCATATGTTAAAGCTATCCGATTCACACGTCCCCGTTGATTATCATGCAATCGAAATATCCAATAACCTTTAAAACTTGTCAAGTCAAATGCCTTCTCTAATAATTGGACACGTATAACCCCATCATCATAACCAATCAGCACACGATAACCAGAATTAGAAAATGTCCAATATGTGACAGAAGTATCCTTTTTCTCTGACATACAAACTGCTTTATTTGGTTCAGTGACAGGTATTCTATCAGCAAGTGTAATACTCTTTGGATCAATAATTTCAGTATTTTCAGTATTCGTATCTGTAGTTATCGTTGTTGCCGTTGGCGTTGTTGTTGTTGTTGTTTCCGATGATTGATCCATTTCTGTTTGACCTTCCATATCATGTTTAATTTGATTTTGTTTTTTAATATTTGCTTTCTCTTTACGAACTTTTTCAACAGCTTCATCAATTGTTAATACAGGACCGCCTAGTTTACATTTATATAGATAGCCTTTATCAAAATCTCCCTAAAATGCAGAGAAATATTTGAAAGAAAAATGAGGGGAGAAGTGTTAATAGATTAAAGTAAAACAAAATTTATGCACAATATGCAATGGTAGAATGGTCACCACCAGGCACGCGTCATGTGGTTCAGGGTTAGATAACCCCCTCCCCAGCCGGTGCACTCCCTTACCTCGCCAAACCAGTAATAAGACTGTTAAGGAGGAGAGGTTTGGCAGACGCTAACAACCTTATCCCGTAAAAATAAACACCACTTTTTACTGAAACTTCAAGCCTGTAGCTTAAAACCCTATGGTTCCGTTCCCTGGGAACGTAAAGCAATGAAAAAATGTTCTCAGCACAAATTATCGCTTATGTTCATATCAAGTCGCTCACACAACTTTCTTGCTTCATTTATTTACATGAGTAAAAATTGATGATTAGACATGTGAATAAAATCAGTAATATAAGATAATGTACATTCAGAAATAATAATATGAGTGTTATCTGTCAAATAGTCAGATAGGAAATAAGATGTTTTCATAGTGCGTCGGTGGCACAGTGGTCAGGATTCTCGCCGACCATGCACATGGTCCGGGGTCCGACCCCTCGCCGACGCACACCTGATATCTATGGTCGGCCTGCAAATTTTGGGCTACCGATATCCACGCTGAAAATTCCATACTTGTACCAAAATACGGTGTGAAATCAAGCTGTAATCAAATAAAAAATTTAAAAAAATAAAAATAAATAAATAACTTTTTAGAATGTTATGATATACTTGAACTGAAATAGAATCTTAAGATTACCTATTATCCTCCTCTGATTTGACTAGTGGTAATAATATCTTCCACACATATCTCTGGTATTTGCATTGAGTCATTTATGTTGCATGTGTTGTGTTGGGTGTAGACTCGATGAACCAGGCAGGATTCAGTAATCAATCTCTCTGTATCTCCACCTACATAGATTACTTCTTAGAGTCTTAATCCTCTCTCACCCCATTAAGTGGTTGTGTGTTAATGCATGTAGTGCAATTGCTGAGCTTTTTTCTAAATTACTTATCCTCGTGGGATCAGTCATTCTAACCTTAGCTGAATTCTTATGTTCTGATAATCTCACTACTCCTGATCTACTAGTTTGACCTATGTAGACCTCATAACTCACAGTCATTTCAAGGTATTTTGTAAATAATATTATTTTGTTTAATTGGGTCAGTCGACACGGTCCTTGAATGTACACAGCTTTCCTACTTGAGTAGATTTTTAAGTTCGGATGCCACACCAATTCCTGCTTAATTGCGAATCCTACGCAGGGTCTCAGATGTCCCCCACTTATATGGTATTTACATAATAATAATAATAGTAATTTGCTTTATTCCAAAACAGTACTTGTGAATACAGAATGGAATCCTCAGCATTTCACCACATACAGTATATTGCATCCAGTTAGTAAATTATCAATAAATAAATTTCTACATAGATTATGGGTAATCTCAGTTAGTTTTGTCGGTAGTAAAGCCAAAATTGAACAGAGTGTTTGAAGCTGTTAGAAAAGTAGATACTACTAGTATATTTACTGGCGTAAACGGTAACAAAAATGTCGAGATCTACAGATTGTGAAAGAACGAAGAAGAATGTTTTAAATAGAGTTTGTAAGGAAGAAAGAAACAAAGCAGCACATAACAGAAAAAAGAGAGAAAAAAAGGAAAAGAAAGAAAAACGTTGTATCTATAAATGATATGAGGAGTTGGAAAGACGAGATCCAGTTGTTCTACTGACTATTGAATAAGTCATATGTTTCACGCCTAATGCTTTCTTCATCGCTTGGAACACGAGCCAAGTAGCGTATGATTGAGTTTTTGTACTTTTGTACTAGTGAGAGCATATCGTTTTCTATATAGGCTTCTGGTCTGGTATGGCCTGATGAGATAGAAACAAGGGGAGAGTTGTGAATGAAGAAGATGGTGTAGTGTAGTGTACTACAGATCTTCGTTACTAACTTACAATGACCCCCTAACGCTCGTCATGGATTAACACTATGCATATTAACCTTCCATTAACTATACAAATTTGATGATAAGATAGGACAGGAAGATTAATATCAGTAAAAAGTTTGAGCATTGTGGATTAGATCAAATAAAGTATAATTATATTTCAATTATTTACACACAATGATAAGTTTTGTTATTGGTAATATTTCGGGCAAAATTACTGCCCGTGTTCACACCACTGTTGGAATGGTTTTATTCACACATTTATGATTTGTACTCACACATATATAGTTCATTTTTTTTGCTCATTCATGTTTTGTGTGTGTATATGTGCGTTCAGAATTATACTCCACATTCATTCATGTGTTTGTATTTAGAATTATATTCCAAGTTGTTGATAGTTGTACTGAGTCACCCTTGTTACATGTATCCGGTGTGACTTTAATGAATATCGATTCTGTTATGAGTCTTTCTTTCCATTTGCTCATGTTTGTTTTTAGAATACACACATTGTCCCAATCGATATTGTGGTTTTTGTCCCATGCATGTGCAGCTATCGATGAATTTTTTTCAAGATTTTTGTAAGCTTGTGTCCCTGTTGGTTGACCTTTGGTTAGGCGTTTATGTTCATTCACTCTTATTTTGAGTGATCTGGACGTTTGCCCCACATATTTAGTTGGACAGTCAGCACAAGATATTTTATAAATCAAATTGTCTTGATCCATCACTCTTTCAGGCCATTATCTTCATTTAGTTTCTCTTTCAGTGCAATCATGGCCATTTGAATGGGTATTTTCGTATAAAGACTGTTTACATCAAAGCTAACTAGTATTTCTTCCTCCTCTATTTTAGTGGTTTTTATTCGCCTCACTAATTCAAATGAATCTACTATTCTAGCTTTTGAGAGACAACACAGTTATCCGTAGAAGAAATAATAAAAGGGGCAGAATTCTGTCTGACAACAACATATTTCACATTCGAAGGGAAAAAATACCAACAAAATGAGGGAGTAGCTATGGGATCGCCTATCTCACCAATTATAGCTGACATATTCATGGATTATTGGGAGGAGAATGCCCTTAAACCATTCAGATCATCACTAAAATGTTGGTGGAGATATGTAGACGACACACTAGTAATAGTGAAAAAAAACGATACTGAGAAACTTTTCTCACACATAAACAGACACGTCGACTCAATAAAATTCACTATGGAATTAGAGAATGAAATTGGAGAACTGCCCATGTTAGATTGCAAACTACAAAGAATGACAGATGGTAGCATAAAAACAACGATATATAGAAAAGCCACACACTCTGGAAGATTCCTTGATTATTACTCAGCTCATCCACTCTCGGTAAAACGAGGATTAATACAAGGTCTTGCAGATAGAATACGTAGACTTACAACAGCACCAGAGGACCAGCGTAAAGAAATAAAAGTCCTATTCAAAATGCTACTCGAAAACAACTACCCTAGAGAATTTATAAAAGATAATATAAAAAAGAGAAAAAAGAGGGTAAAACCGGAGAATAACAAGAAGGAAGAATGGAAAAAGACAGTCGCAATACCATATAAAAATGGTACATCAGAGGCAATACAAAGAAACCTCAAAAATATCGGCATTCGAACAACCTTTAAACCGACAAATCTAATCAAAAATAAAATAAATCAACTGAAAGATCCCATAAAAATGATGGATAAAAACAATTTGATTTATAAAATATCTTGTGCTGACTGTCCAACTAAATATGTGGGGCAAACGTCCAGATCACTCAAAATAAGAGTGAATGAACATAAACGCCTAACTAAAGGTCAACCAACAGGGACACAAGCTTACAAAAATCTTGAAAAAAATTCATCGATAGCTGCACATGCATGGGACAAAAACCACAATATCGATTGGGACAATGTGTGTATTCTAAAAACAAACATGAACAAATGGAAAGAAAGACTCATAACAGAATCGATATTCATTAAAGTCACACCGGATACATGTAACAAGGGTGACTCAGTACAACTATCAACAACTTGGAATATAATTCTAAATACAAACACATGAATGAATGTGGAGTATAATTCTGAACACACATATGCACACACAAAACATGAATGAGCAAAAAAAATGAACTATATATGTGAGTACAAATCATAAATGTGTGAATAAAACAATTCCGATAGGACAGGAAGTGATCACTTCTGTTGACCTATGTGTTCCTAATGATTTATTCACTTAACCACATATATAATTCAGTTTCAATTTATTCCTTTATCCTCGCTGGATGATTTCATCATGAGCTGACATCAGTTAGACAACCATTGGAAAGTCGACAGGGACTACTGGACAGGTATTCCCACTTAGTCTTCGGACTCTTCGGCAGTACGCACACACTGCCATGGGACAAGTACAGGACCTTCCAGTTACAAGGCCAGCGAGCTCGTAGACAATTGAGCCACTGGGACCTGGTTCAAAGGACAGCTCATGAATTCTAACTTCAGCCAATTTTTGACATAGCGCGATCACTTCGCAATGTCTTCTTTTAATGAGTAACTGTCCTCACTTTCAACCTGCTGTAGTCTACTGTTCACGGATTCTCACTAGAACCCCAGTTAATTACCTGAATAGGACAGTAACTCATCGGAGAAGACATTGTGAAGTGGTCGTGCTATGTCGTGAGTTGGCGGGAGTCAGAATTCATGGATTGGTCATTGAACCGGTACCCAGTAGCTTAGTGGTCTACCAGCTTGATCACCTTTTAACCAGAAGGTTCTGGGTTAGACCTGTGGCGATGTGTGCATACTGCCGAAGAGTCCCGAGACTAGGAGGAAATAGCCATCCAGTACTACCTGTTGGTTTTCCAGGGGGGTTGTCTAACTGATGTTAGCTCATGAGGAAATCCTCCGACCAATCAAAGAAAATCCCTACCCATTCTGAGTGAAACATGGGTTCTCAAGCAAGAGCTCCAAAGTTTCGGTAGCAGTGGTGTCAGTATTTTTTCCCTGTTTACCGGCTAAGCGAGGTTTTGGAGTACGTCGGCCGGGAATCAAGCCCTGGGACACGGGCGTGGTAAGCAAGAGTTCTAGCGCTGAACCACCGATGCTCATATATTATTATTATTGTATTATTATTAATGTATCATTTAGTTCCTAGAGGAACATAGGGCTTCAGCTGCGCACCTCCATTGCCTTCTGTTTTCTGACAACTTTTTCACCCCGCTCCAGGTCTGTCCACATGCTTTCATCTCCTCCTCGCATGACTTCCTCCCAGTCACCCTCGCATTGACGACCAACTCGTCGCCTCCCTTTCGGGTTCCACTCGAGCGATGGCTTGTCTAGTGACGTCACTTGATGGTTTCCTCAGCGTATGGCCAATCCATCTCCATTTCTTCCTGCCTATTTCTTTCACAATCGGTTCCTTATTGGTTCGATCCCAGAGATCCCTGTTGCTGATCTTTTCTGACCGGCCATCTGATCTTGAGTATTGAGCGAAGACAACTGTTAATGAAGGTCTGAAGTTTGTTTGAGATGCTCTTCATGACGCGCTAGCCAAGTCTCTGATCCGTATAGTGAGTAGCACTGACTGACTTCACATTGGAGTTGAAAATCCGGATCTTATTTTCATTTTGATAATGAGTGCTGTTGACCTCCACACAGATTTGAGAGTAATGAAAGCTTGTCTTGCTTTTCCGATTCTGGCTTTGATATCCTCATCAGTTCCGCCCGCCTGTAGTTGAGACGATGCTTCCCAGGTAGGTGAAGGAGGCTGTTTCTTTCAGGTTCCTCCCATTTATGCTGGCTGATTGTTGTCTGTTGTTGTTGTTGCTGTGTGATATTGATGCTCATATATATGTAATTACAAAAGAGTAATATTAAAAAATAATATTAATAGTAATAATTTGTTACATAATAATTACAAGTGACATCCAAATATGATTTGCTTCATTTCTATCCAAGCAACCGTAGAGCAGAGGAGATGGACTTGTTGGATACGTTGGTGCCCAATCCGCTATCTCAGACATAACACCTTGACGAATAAGTTCCTCTTCTAAAAGATGGAATATACATGAAAACAAAAGAGAAGAAATGAAGCCATCGATTAACACTTAGAAGGCATTTGTCTAACCTTTATATTTTTAAATCCGATAAAAAAATATGTGGATACGATTTTTTTTTTAATTATAAAATATGTATACGAACTTGTAGTTATTATTATTATTATTACTGTTCTCCCTCTGGGTTACTAGTTAAACAAAAGACTTCAACGACACAACGTTATTTCACTCTGTCATACGCTTCACTCTACAACTAGGTGTATAACAGCCCATATAATAATAATTATTATTACTATAATTCCTTTGGGTTCCAAATGAAATGAAATAGGGTCTCAGCAATACATTTCCACTTTCCTCTACTTGACGCTGTCTTCTGCATCTAGGTCCACGATTGAACATAGTCTCTCATCTCCCCCTACTCCTCCCCTCCTCCTCGCCACACGCTAACCTCCATGTCACTCTCGCACCGACAACCCACTCTTCACTTCCCATTATCATTCCACTCGAGCCGTGACCTGCATTGAGCGTGACATCATTCGACAGCCTCCTCAACGTATGCCCAACACATCTCTATTTTCCCTACATATCTGTTAAGAGATCGACTCTTAATTGGTTTGTACATCTCCAGAGTTTCTCGTTGCTAAGTGTTTCTGAATGGCGAACCGTTTGATCTTCAGTATGGAGCTAAGCAGTCAGCGAAAGGGGCAGCTGTTGATAAAAGCCTGCAACTGGCTGCTGTTCAAAATGCCTTTCGTTACGTGTGTGCATTACAAGTTTCTGACCCATATTAAAAGAACTGCCTGCCTGACTGACTGACTGACTGACTGACTGACTTCACATTTGTGTTGAACAGAATCTGAACGAATCTTGTTGTTTATGCTGCCTGGCTGGCTGGTTGAATGAGTCAATGCACAAGATATTCAAACTTGTTTTAGATAGGTTAATGAGTGCATTTCTTGCCTTTCCATTTCTGACTGGCTGGTTCTGACATCTTCATTCGTAGCGTCTGTGTCTGTGATTGAAACCGTGCTTCCTAGCCAGATAAGTGAAGGCAGAAAGTTACCTCAGTCAAGTCTCTCCCGTTGATGGTGATTGGTGCTGGTTGTTGGTGTTGGTGTTGCTGTTTGTTTGTTTGTTTGTTTGTTGGTTATTTTCATCATCTCTGTCTTCTCTATGTTCAGCTGGAGTCCTTTCTTCATAGCCTGTTTCTTCAGACAGTTTTTTTTTTCGTTTTCTCCCACCTGCAAGTCTTCGAATTTGTGTGATGTCAAGCAGAAATCATCCACACGTGAAATCCAGATCTTCCAGAGTCTTCTAATTTGTCCAACTTACTCATGTCTTCTCACTCTCCACAATGTGATGCATAATCCAGTTGTGCATCACAATTAGGAATATCATCCTGGAGGTGATAATAGGCAGCCCATAAGCTCCGGTATTCTGCTGACATGATCTCATACTCGTTACACTTACACCCAGACCCAACTCATAGCTGCCTATGCGTTTCCAGAGTGCTTTTCTGCTTATCCTTTCTGATCAGTCATCCAATCTTTAGTATTGTAACGACAGAAGACAAAGTCCAAGCAACAGATCCTTTATTTCCGAAATCAACAGATATTTAGAGATTTTCATATACATTATTATTTGTTATTGTTAGCATAGAAACACAGTCTTCTGATTGGTGGTTATTTCTCACTGAAAGTTAATCTTTCACCTCTTTGTAGCCGTTTCTTGAAGGTCAGATTATCTGTGCAAATGGTATCCGCCTACGTAAAGTCTTCTGTGATTGGCTGTTGAGTTAGTCTTTGTTCTTAGTCTCTTCTCATGATCAATATTTGAGGTGTAAAACATTGACGTAAATTGCTGTCTACTAATTTTGGCTAACAGACAGCTCTCACCACAATATAAGGCCAAAGAAAGTGGGTGTGGGAGAAAGTCTGCTGTAGCCTGTTTGAAAAAAAGCTCTAAGCAACACTTGCTCAAAGTCTCTGGATCGCTTATGTGAATTTCTCCCGAAAGAAATCCGAAACGATAATCCAAACTATAGATTTAACCATACGTAGAGTGACGCGTAAAGTCCAAAATACTGGATATTCTGCAATACGGTACTTTATTACATAAAAATAGATATATAATATACAAACCTCAAAATGTGAAGTGTCTGTGGCTAAATGCCGTCAAATGCACAACCACTGTGCAGTCAATAAGTAAAAACACCAATGCTGTGTCAAGGTCGATCCACGTGTCGGTTCAAACGGCCCGCGAATCCCAAGCAAAGAATAAACAAATTTGAACAAACAACTTTCAATAGTAAAGCATACACTATAGGGTAAATGCAGCAAATAATGTTTAAGGAGAAGGAAAATAAGAACTATACATTAATAGAATGATAATAGAACAAGTAATTTAACTGCAGTTGTAAGCAAATGTCATTGTTATAAATTATCATATAAAAATCATACTACTTACTAATGGCAAGTAGTATAATGTTGAATAAAGGAAAAATTGAGAATGAACAGGTAGGAAAGGATACAATTGGTGGATGGTGGCTAGCAGTGGAATCCAGGATGCGCATTTAGTCCTATTTGGGACTCGTCAGCCAGCTGGATGTACCTGCATTTCTCAGTGAGTGATGATGTTCCCACTGAGGCTCGAACCCAGTACCCATAGTTTCAAACGCCAAAGCGTTATCCACTAGACCACTTGGGCTACGAGAGCCACCTGTTGTGCAACGGGTCATATTAATTATTGAATTGAATTTTTGATTTTCCCGTCGATTGATTGGACCGAAGTGCTCGGTCTCAGGTTGACATGTCGTGGCCCAAGTGGTCTAGTGGATAACGCTTTGGCGTTTGAAACTATGGGCACTGGGTTCGAGCCTCGGTGGGAACATCATCACTCACTGAGAAATGCAGGTACATCCAGCTGACGAGTCCCAATTAGGACGAAATGCGCATCCTGGATTCCACTGCTAGCCACCATCCACCAATTGTATACAAATCAAATCCCCAGACATCGTCGAAGCATCTGCACAAGAAGCCGACATGTCAACCTGAGACCGAACACTTCGGTCCAATCAATCGACGGGAAAATCAAAAATTCAATTCAATAATGACAGTCATAAGTCTAATTCTTTGTGGGTACATTGGTGCACACTGATGAATAGTCGCAAACTAGGAAGAAACATCAATCCCTGGCTTTCAATGGTACTCTAACTTATACCAACTTGTAATCAGTCAAGTTCCTGCAAACCAACAAAAAGGCATATATATCTGAACTACTACAAATCTGTGAGTAGTATATACATTGAATACACATCATATTTTTTTTTACTCTAAACTTACCATCATCTAATTTTTGTGCATCTTCTTCTGTTTCTGGTTGAAGACGTGCATTCATTCGTCTAATTTCTTGCCTTAATTCTTTTTCTTTTTCATATCTTTCTAATTTCACCTCAGATTCTTCATCGTGTTCTAAACGTGATTTAATACTCAATAATTGATAGGAATGTGTAGTGTGAAATTGTGATAAGGCAAATGTTTTCGAATGATCATATGTTTCATTCTCTGATGGACATTCAATCTAGAGATGAGAGATAAGAATGAAAAAGCAAAAATGATAAAATTGGTTTCTAGCTTAAAATATAATTTAATTCATGAATAAAACACGAAGTAGTATTATTATTATTGAATTGAATTTTTGATTTTCCCGTCGATTGATTGGACCGAAGTGCTCGGTCTCAGGTTGACATGTCGGCTTCTTGTGCAGATGCTTCGACGATGTCTGGGGATTTGATTTGTATACAATTGATGGATGGTGGCTAGCAGTGGAATCCAGGATGCGCATTTCGTCCTATTTGGGACTCGTCAGCTGGATGTACCTGCATTTCTCAGTGAGTGATGATGTTCCCACTGAGGCTCGAACCCAGTACCCATAGTTTCAAACGCCAAAGCGTTATCCACTAGACCACTTGGGCCACGAGAGCCACCTCTTGTGCAACGGGTCATATATTAATTATTGAATTGAATTTTTGATTTTCCCGTCGATTGATTGGACCGAAGTGCTCGGTCTCAGGTTGACATGTCGGCTTCTTGTGGCGTTTGAAACTATGGGCACTGGGTTCGAGCCTCGGCGGGAACATCATCACTCACTGAGAAATGCAGGTACATCCAGCTGACGAGTCCCAAATAGGACTAAATGCGCATCCTGGATTCCACTGCTAGCCACCATCCACTAATTGTATATTATTATTATTACTATATATTAGTATTATTGTTTCCTTTAGTTCCCAGAGGAACATACGGTTTCAGCATTGAATTTGGTTCTCTGCAGCCATTTTCATCTGGCTCCACGTCTGCCCACATGCTCTCATCTCCTCTTCACATGACTTCCTCCATGTTACCCTCGCACTGACGACCGACTCACCGCTTCCGATTCGGCCAGGTTTCACTCGAGTGATGGCCTGGCATGTGATTTCACTCACTTGATAGTTTGTTTTCTCAGAGCATGGCCAATTCACCTCGATTTCTTCTTGCATATTTGTTGTACAATCGGTTCTTGCTGGGTTGGTTTACTCATTGCCAGATATCCCTGTTGCTGATCTTTCCTGGCCGGCCATCTGATCTTAAGTAGTGAGAGAAAACGGTTGTTGATTAAGGTTTGCAGTTTGTTCGAAGTGCTTTTTATGACGACGCGCCAAGTCTCTGGTCCATACATAGTAATTAGAACTGACTTCCTATTGGAGTTGAAAATCCACATCATGTTTTCATTTTCATGCTGAGTGCTGTTGATCTCCACACAGACTTGAAAGAAATGAAAGCTTGCCTTGCTTTTCCGTTCCTCACCGTTTTGATATCTTCGTCAGTTCTATCCACCTGTGGTTCAAACGATGCTTTCCAGGTAGGTAAAAGAAGTTGCTTCTTTCAGATTTCTCCCATTTATGCTCGCTGATTGTTGCCTGTTGTTGTCGCTGTTGCTGTTGGCGAGGAGTCTTTCTCACCTCTGTTTTCTCTATGTTCACCCGGAGGAAGTCCTATCTTCTCTAGATGATTCTTCTACCGTCGACATGTTGCTTTTCATTTCCATATCTTCCAGTTTGCAGGAAATCAGACTGGCTCCATAATGAAGATCAAATGGCTGGCTGGCCAGATGGCAAGGCAGAAATAATTAGCAACAAAAACTCTGGCTGGCTGGCAGGCAACAAAGAGATGATTGTTTAAAAAAATATGTAGTAGAATGTGGAGATGGACTGGGCATACGTTGTGGAAACCGTCGAATGATATCGCTCGCAATGCAGGCCATCGCTCGAGTAGAATCCCTACTGGAAAGGACGAGTGGATTGTCGGTGCAAGAGTGACATGGAGGAAATCGTGTGTCGAGGAGAAAAAGGTGGTAATGATGTATTACTGGCAAAATCGTGGACCCACGTAAAGAGGACAGCAGATAATAGAAGAAATCGGAGATGTTTTGTTGAAGCCCTATGTTCCAAGAGAATAATAATAAAAACTAATAAATAACAAAAAGAAAAGCAAAAGTGGTGTAAAACGAAAAAAACACCATCACTACACACTTACTGTTAATACACAACCATTTTCTAGATAAACTACAACTTCATTTGTAGGTTTATTATTCACATAATACCATTCCAGACGGACAACTTTTTCATGAACATGCACAAAACCGATCGGTGATAAATGGGTGGCATGGACATTGAAGAAAAAAAGTGTTTCATCTTTACTCTAAAATTAAAAAAGAGGCAAATAAATAAATGAAAGCTTAAATAGTGGAGATGACGATATAGGCTTTTGTGATTTTGTGAGTTAAGTGACTCAATGGTAGGGATGACATCTTCAGTCTAGAGAATTCTTTATGAATATATCTATCTGTCTCTCTTGAAATGATCTCCTGAAGGTTTCGTATCATATGTATTTTTCGTTTCTCGTCTGACTTATATTTGACTAATCATAATCAGTATCATCAGGAAAAAAACAAATGAAAGTCATCAGGGAGTATTGAAAGTTATTTCGTCCAAATTGAGGACTCTTCAGCTTCCTGATTAAATTCCTGGGTGTGTACAACATCTGAAGAATCCCAAAGTAGGAAGAAACAACCGATTAGTACAGTAACTTCTGGTTTTCATTGGTTCTTTAGACGGATTTATTCCGTGGTTTCACTTACAGTTACATCATATATGGAGTGCTAAACATCTTGTCTAGAAGGACAGTGTAAAGTTCGCAGAAACTAACACTTGAATATCCTATTCAGGTAGGAGGTTATCTGTATTCTAGTGAGAAATATTGATCAATGGGGTACAGTAGGTCAGGTGTGAGGATAAATACTCGCCAGCCATGACGAAGATTAACTGCTTAGCTAAATTTTATGTATCTACATATTTATAAAATGAGGTAAACTGTTGCGATAAGTATAAAGACGCTGAAAATTCCATTCTGTAGAATTATTATCGTTATTTAGAATAAAATTTATTATTATTATTATTACTATTATTCTACCGTTACAATATGAGTACAAAACATATTTTAAAAAACATACCCCAGTGATGAATATTTTTCCAGATGGGCTGAATATCATTGATGTTATAGCCATCTTATGAGGTTTCAGAGCTTGTCCAAGATCTAGCAATGCAAAATCTTTTGTCCTTTTGCTAGGCTCTTCAGGATTTTCACCAAATTTTAACAAACGTAATACACCATCTTGATGACCAACAACTAAAATTTTACCTTTTGGATCAACCTTGGACAGAGAGATAAAATAAATGAGGAATGGTTGAATTTAAAAATCTGATCTTGTTCTTTCGAAGTTCATTTTGTATTGATGAACTGAATTTTAGTCAACCAAACCATTTGGTTTCTGTAGGCAAATCGGATACTACTACGGAGAATCTAATGTTATTTAGTGGCTAGTGAGTGATAAACTAGCGATGGATTCCAGGATACCCATTTTGTCCCACCTCGAAACTTTTCAGCAGCAAGCATCCATGGCCCCACTAGTGATCGACTCGTTCATACTACGAAACAAGGTACTTTATCATTCAGCCACTATAATACAATCCAATAAACATGCTGTCATTGTTAAATCTTCGTAGCCTAAATTATCGCACATTCATTTATGGTACTTATTTTTATTAAGTAATAAAAATATATTTCCATCAATTATCTTTCATACTCTATTTCAAGAGATACAATTCACCTCGAATGAAAACAAAACCCGTAGTTCAGTGGAGAGTCTCTTTTTCGGCGGCGAATTCATTCACTTAACTGTACAATTGCACTTATATACACTTATTTTTTGTGTGTACATTAGGTTCGTCCGATAAGAATAAGTTAGGTTTATTATTTCATTGAATTTTAGATCTTCCGTCGATTGATTGGACCGAAATGCTCGGTCTCAGATTGGCATGTGAGCTTCTTGTGAAAATGCTTCGACGATGTCTGGTTACATAACTAGAGGTCAACTGGTTGATGGTAACTTTGGCGTTTGAACTTTGGGTAGTGAATTTGAGCCTTGGTGGGAAAACCATCACTCAATGTGGAATGGGGTGCATCCAGTGACGAGCCTCTCAAATAGGACGAAATCCGCATTCTGATTCCACTGCTAATTACCACCAACCAAAATGAAACATTAACTAATTTAGTAAAAAGCAATAAAAGCTCGAAGCAGTAATAGTTTCCCTACAAATTTCAAACAATGCTTTACCATTTATTACTAGTTACGTAGGCATTTTCATCATAACTTTCTTAAAAAGTAATCATGTTTAAATATTAGTAACACTTACTTGTGGAGGACTCCATATAATTGTTGAACCACTCGATGGAAATCTTCTTTCAACAATTACTTGTTTTTGAACAATATCATAAATGCATACCTTGCCTGAAAGTCAATAAAAAATGGATATTCAAATGTTGGTTTGCAGGGGTTGGATGCATTGGTTTCAGAATTTCATTATGAACTGACATCGTTAGAGAACCATTGGATAGCAACCATCCGTTTCATCCTATTTTCAACTCTTCATCGGTGCGCACCAGCTGAGGCCTATTCAGATAAGTAGTTACCTGGGGTTCCAGTGGGATGTAGTGATTAGTGGGGTGTGTGAGAACAAATACTCGCCAGCGATGAAATCGGTTAGTGGTCGCGCTACAGCCGAATTCGCAGAAGTTGGAATTCATGGGCTGGCCATTAGATAGAGTCCAGTGCCATAAAATAACCTACGAGCTAGCTCCCCTTCTAACCAGAGAGTCCTGGGTGGGTGCGTACTGATGAAGAGTCTCAAAGCAGGACGAAGCAGCTGTCTAGTACTCCCTGTTGGTATTCTAATGGTCGTTTAACCGATTTCACCCCATGATGAAATCCGGAAATTGATACTAGTAATATTGTAAGATAAGGTGGCATGATTTTCTCATTATATGGTTTTTTTTTCCTAATAGTGCAATCAGTATCAGGTATGTATTGATTAGCTAGCAAAGAAAGCAATGCTTCATTAGAATGTGGCTCAAAGAAACGTGTACATGATTGAAGACACTGACATTCACATCAGTCATATTTCCTACAGATAGTAAAGTTAGAGGAAGTTCATTAAAGCCTCCTGTCCTTTTAGAATTTATTCTCTAAAGATACTTTGTGGAAATATTGTAACGACAGAAGACCAGGGACAGACAACAGATAGTTTATTGCGAAAATCAACAGTAATTATAGATTCTTATGTACATCATTGATCGTCATTGTCAGCAAAGAATCAGAGTCTTCTGATTAGTTATTTTCTTCCTCAGGGTTATTCTGTCATCTCTCTGTGACCGCTTCTTAGAAAGTTAAGCCACACATCTACGAATCGTATTTGAACACACATTAAGTCTACTGTGATTGGTTGGTGAGTTTATCAGGGTTAAGCTTTGTTATTGTCTTTTTTTTGTCATGACCCCGATTCACGACGTAAACATTACCGTAAATTGTTGTCTACAATTTTGGCTTACAGACAGTTCTCACCACAATATGAGTTCTGCAAGTAAAACTGACTTTCCTAAAATTATTAACAAAGTGCTGCAAAGCACTTTTGATGCCATACAGTAACACGAATAGACGTGTTAGTTTTTGATCGAATCAATCAAATTCTTACAATCTAACACTTGAAAACTTTTATCATCAGCTGCCTTTGCTGATTCGATACCGAAGATGCGTCAGACGGCTGCCGGTCAGAAGGAATCAGCAAACAAAAAGAACTTTGTTATGCAGTGTATCAGTCAAAAATCTACCATTTCAGTTTAGAACCAGTGCTGAAGTACTAGACAGCTAGCTGTCTCATCTTAGTTTGGAAATCACTGATAATACACAACCGCCCTACAGGGGGTTCGAACCCAAGACCTTCCGGTTACAAGCAAGCAAGCAAGCCGTATACCATATACCATTCAGCTGCTGGAACCCCCAATTCAATGACCAGCCCATGAATTCTAACTTCTAGCATTTTGTGATTTAGTGTGACCGCCAACCAATGTCATCGGAGGGAACTCCATCCTCACACTCCCGATTGGATGGACCCCACCGGTCACGACTTCGCAATAGAACTCCAGGAAACTTCGTCTTGTAGCCAGTCAGTCACTACGAGCATCAGAATAATTTTCATGAATTAGTTTGTAGGAATTCTATTTCTCTCAGGTTAGACCACGGATTGATGTCATTTAGGGAACCACTAAAAACCAAGAATACTGGTAGTAATGACGGTCACTCTAAAACCATGAATTGGTAGAAATTAAAATTCATGGGCTGACTATTGAATTGGGTCCCACTGACTGAATGGCATAGCAGCTTGTCTTGTAAACGAAAGGTCCTGATTGGAACCCCCTGTGGAGTGGATGCGTGCTGCCAATGAATCCCAAACTAGGCTGACGAAACAGCTGTCCATCACTTCCTGTTGGTTTTCAATGGTTCTCTAACTGATATCAATCCCTGGTCTGACCTGAAACAAACAGAATCCTTACAAACTAATTCTTGAAAAGACCTATTATATAAGAAGTATGCAGAAATAAACTGAGATGGATTGGACATGCACTGAGGAGACTGTTAAATGGGACCAAGTAGGAAACCAGCGACAAGATCGGTTTCCAAGTGTTACATGGAGGAGATCTTGTGAGATTTTCCTTCCAGGCTTAACTGCTGCCAATAAGTTCTCATCTTTTCTTCATATAGACGTCTAACTCATAGCTTGCCAACGGGATCCATTCGACGCCCTGGCATACCAATGTCACTCTACCGTCTCCTTGGTGTATGTCCAACCCACCTATATTTTCTTTTTCATATTTTTAAATAATAGATCATTCGATGCTTCTCTATTAGAGTTCTATGCAGATTATCCTTTCTTGCTGGCATTTGATATTCAGGATGGTCGGGGGTGGGTGTCTTGCGCTGCGGGCTGGCCACCCCTCCGTACACCTCTTGAAATGCTCCCATTTGACCGGCCGTCTTACATAGCCTCTCCTGAGGAAGTCCTACTCACTGCCTTCACGTGGCGGAGGTGTTTTTCACCAAAGTGAGAGGGCAAAAGCGGATGCCCGCCGCTCTTCACCGGGTTGACTGTCCATTGGATGACAGTCTAGGGGAGATGGCTAAACCCTGTTTCCAAACCTCCAACGACTAGCGTATGAAGCTCACCGGAGCTCACCGTCAGACGTATGGACAAAGGGCTTATTGGATGCCCTGGATGACTTGCCCCATTCAAAAAGGCGTATGAACCGGACTCCGGTCACCGGCTGCCAATGGATAGTGGACTCCCTACTCCACTCCTACTGCCTTGTAGGTCACACTTGGTTGTGTAAAGGCTAGAGCTGCACTCTCAAACAAAGGCAGAGCGATTCTGGGGACATCACTCGTACCCAATTCCCACGAAACTTCATGGTTCATGAAGCCGGCTCATCCTCCCGTAGGAGATAGTCGAAGTAAAGTAAAGTAAGTTTGATATTCAGTACCAAGCCAGTGCATGAGGATGTTAATCAAATGTCAAGTGTCGAACCGCATAGAATCAGTGACTTCAAACTGATGCTGCGGTGTTGTGTTCTGTATGTTTTCAAACTGTTAGATAAGACACTATTTGATAAAAACCAATACTTCAAGTTTCAAGGTTTGTTCTTCACAGCTGAAAGATATCTGTAGACTGTTAGAAGCTTTAGACAGTTGCTATTTCAAGTTTCATTTTTATTGAGATGCTTAGATAATAATCTACAGGCATAATGTAGTAAAGAATGTGGAACTACAATACACCTAAACCACATGTGCTTAAAAGCCTGCGTCTCAAGGGAACTGTTACGACACACGAGGTGGAAATCGCGAAATCCTTTAGCATTATCAATAGACAAAGGAGTCGTTTCTCCTCAAGTTTGCTGAAGCAATTTCTATCAAACGGTTGAAACTAGATTTATGTGTTCAGAAAGAAGAAGCAGGTATCAATCTTTCCTTGTTATTGTAACTGGATGTCTTCATTCTTTCTTTCATTCATTGGATTACGTAATCTTTGGCTTTAGTCTCACTCTTTTGACATAGTGTAATTTTGCTTGTCTCTTGTTTCCGTGATTTGAGTTGAGCCTAATTTATTAGTCACTCAGCATCTTACGCATTTCTCATCTTTATTACGTAACTGCTTTACCATTGTATGAATAAATTTTGTTTTATCTAAACTTGAATTGCCTGTGTAAAAACTAAATAAGCGCAATTTTCTGAGCACTGTTCAATCATTACGGAACTTTCTGTCAACTGACATACTGAAAAAAATTTGCAAGTGTGTTAAAACTTTTCCCTACAAGGGGGAAATTAAGTGCATATGTAACAACAGAAGACAAGGGCCAGGCAACAGATCGTTTTATTACGAAAATCAACACGTATTTATATAAATTTCACATACATTATTATAGCCTAGTCAAGTAGACAAACGCAGTCTTCTGATTGGTTGTTTTCGAGTTCCCCGGAAAGTGGAGCCATCTATCTGCGAATCATATTTGCCCACGTTTAAGTTTGCTGTGAATGATTGTCGAAACAGCCTTGTTCATATTTTCTCACGGCCCATATTAGTGACCTAGACATTGACGTAGATTAATGTCAACCAATTGGCTAGCAGGCTGCTCTCACCACACATAAAAAGCTCAATCCTGTCACACTTGGTCGATACTGGACGACATGATATAGAAGTCAACACAGCTTTGATGATTATATACCGAATTCTGAATTCGTTATGGTGTACAGTTCGCTTACGTCTCCTACACAAATAGCTGGAGCTGTTACAATAAGATCGACTAAACCGGAACTTTATATCCAAAATGATTACATCCAGACACTGTTCCTACCGTGGCCAAACTTCGATTGATGATTCTTCTTATCACCAAAAGTGCTTCTTCCCCTTAGCCGTCTTGGTTTCTTCCCCTTTGCTTATTATTAAAATTATTATTATTATTCGTCATAATTCATGCCCTTCATACAAAAATTCTCTCAATACTCTCTAATTTTCCATTTATGCTATCCGGACTTATTATTAGTGATATTGTCTCTTTTTTCAATATATGTCTCCAGCTGTTTCAATTCACTATTCAATTCGTTATTTCATGATGAACCTCTCATTACAATCTTAATATCTCCTGTTTAACACAGACCACTTTGTACTAGCCATTCACTCAAATGACAGCTTTTATAACTTTGAACAAACTGACTTGTCAATGTTCCTACCCCACACTCTACGAATGAAATCTATTATGACGACTAATCACCACGACATTGTCTTGCATTTCACCGAAATATTTTGTAATCGATTTCAGCCTATCAAGAAGTTTGCCACACAAATACGACTATTTATTTTGACACCCCATAACTACTAATCTGTTATTCTACGTTAAAAAAAAATGTATCCACCACATCACTAACTGGCTATTACTATTGTAACGACAACAAATATTGCATATTTTTATAATTGTAAGAACCTGAAGAGGTGAAATTATTGAAAAGAATATTCTTCCTTGTTCAGATTGACTTTTAATTATTCATGCGATATGGAATATTTCACATTATGAAATTCTGTACATAAGCCTCATAATTTATTTCGACTGTAAGCAGCAGCTGGGCTGATGAGAAGCCAACGGAATAAACAAAGGATGGTACCATCTTGTTATTCTGCACAAACCTCTACTGTTGTTCTCGCTTTATTCACATCTAAACCACTTTGTTATCTAATATTCTTAAGAAATATATATATATATAAGTGGCAACATTAAAGAAATATATGAATAAGTACATTAAATCAGATATAAATCCTGGTAAGTGCTCACCGTCAAGACCAACTGTAGCTGCACAATATGTCAACGGTGATGTAACACAGTCGACAATATCATTTGCATGAAATTCGTCCAGAAGTTCAGGTGCCAGTGATGTATGCGAGAAGGATAAATCCAATTTCCAAATTGCACCATCAGAATCCTTTCAAAGAGTGTATAGAAGAATCATAATAAAAAAATATACTTGAATTTTTTATGTGATTATAAGTAATTTCATAACAAGGAAGTAACCATCGCTGTCATCTATCGTCTACCAAAGAAACTAATCTAACCTGCTAAGTACCGAATACGCCACAATATCAGAAGACATAGAAATTCAATTCCATATTGGTTTGTTTATTAGATGTTATCACACACACACAGTGAGTGAAACAGTATTACTATTTACTGTAAGACTCGGTTTCGAACAAAATTTATTATTGTTCATAATCATTTCATCAATTATAATCACACGACTTCGAAACTTGAGTTTTATAGTTTTCTTTGTCCTCTCCTATTCATCGTCATAGGGGTAGTAGAATTTTCCAGATATCTGGGAGGCTGGACAGGCGTTGAATCATTCCTATTACACGTACTCTATACAGTTGATTCTATAAACAAAGCTTCCGCTGTCATCACTCTCTCCCTCCACCCTGCTGAGACATTAGACTTCAAAACTGTCATCCTATCCCATCCTATTCCATGTTTGTGTGTAACTGCATATAGTGAGTGCTATGGCTGAACTCTTCTCTAGATTTATTACCTTATTCGGGTCAACCAATCTAGATTTTGCTGCTAGGTTTTGTGCTCTGCTAGTCTGACTGACTGACTGCCCCTGTTCTACTGATGTGACCTATGTATCTTGACAATCATCGCAGGTGGCGTATTAGACAAACTAGATTGTTTTGTTTAACTGGCTTCACTGGCAGGATCCTTTAACCGACAAAGCTTCTTTCTCAGTGATTAAGTGGGTTTGAATACCAGCCACTTTTATTCCTGCCTGCACTTTTAAGAATTCTCAGCTGTGTGAGGGGGGGGGGGTTTCCGAGTTTCCTTCTTTGTATAGTAGTACTACTATTGATTTAAATTCCTTATCGTTGATGTTTTCATTATCCTGTGCATGTTTGACATGCATGTTGTCATTAATATTATTATTATTATTACTATTGTGGTGAGAGCAGGCTGCTAGCCGATTGGTTGACACTAAGCTACGTTAATATGGGCCGTGAGAAAATATGAACAAGGCTGAGTCAACAACCAATCACAGCAAAGTTAACGTGGCAAAATGTGATTCGCAGATAGAGAACTCTATTTGTCAAAGAATCCCGAAACAACCAATCAGAAGCCTGCGTTTGTCTGCCTAACTTCTGATAAACAACCAATCAGATGACTGCGCTTGTCTATAATAATGTATGTGAAATGTGTATAAATACGTGTTGATTTTCATAATAAAACGATCTGTTGCCTGGCCCTTGTCTTCTGTTGTTACACTATCACTACCATTATTATTAGTCTTATTTTAACATTTTCCTACATATTTCCTGACTAATTTATCAGGGTAAGCTTTTTTTATATGCCTCATTTCCTGTCTTAGATTTTCTTTGGTACTAAATAGTTGTTGTGCCCTAATAGTTAAACATTTCACCAATCGTACTTTTACTGACATTTAGTGGGTGGGATGATCGGAAATCTAAATATCGATTTGAATGTATGGGTTTCCTATAAACACACACTAGTGTGTTTGTCATCCTACCTTCTTTCCTGTTTACGCTACAATCATCTAACATTGGGACACTGATATGATTATGAACAATAATAAATTGTGTTCGAAACTGCGTCATCCAGTAAATAATAATAATAATACTGTTTCACTCACTGTGTGTAATTTATCTCACAAGCAAACTAATATGGAATTACATACTACCACAGTGTCCAAGTTTTATACAAATATTACCAATAAAAATTCACTTTAAATAGAAGGAACTTTGCACTATGGGTAAAATTTATTTTGATAAAGTCTCACAGTGCTACTATACAGTAATATTTACTGATGACCACTTTTCAAGCACAATTTATTGCCACTCATAATCATATCGAGGCACTACACATACAACTTTCTAACTTCGTTTATATAATTCTATTATTTTCCATCCCTTGACTTGATTGGTAGTATAGTATTTTCCATATTTCGGGTATGAGTGATGAATAATTCCTATTGCATGTGTTAGGTGTAGACTCGATGAACCAGGCAGGATTCAGTAATCAACCTCTCTCTCTCTCTCCACCTACCTAGGTTACTTTTTAGAATCTTAACCCTCTCCCCCCCACCCTATTCTGTGGTTGTGTGTTAATGCATGCAATGAGATTGCTCAGCTTTTTTCTAAACTACTCATATTCGCAGGGTCAATCATTCTAACCTTAGCTAAATTCTTATGTTCTGGTAGGCAGTCTCACTACTCCTGATCTAATGGTTTGACCTATGTAGTTGACTCAACTCACAGTCATTACTAAGGTATTTTGTAAATTATATTATTTTGTCTAATTGCGTCAACCTACATAGCTTGTCCTACCTAACTGAGTTTGTAGGTTTGAATGCTGCCACCCTAATTCCTGCTTTATAGAGAATCCTACCTAGGAAGGGTCTCAGATGTCCCCTCCTTTTATGGTGAAACTATTGTAGATGCAGTAAATTCTCTCTTATTTATGTTATCATTACTAGTTTCCCCATTCCTTGTATTTTACTTTTGACCTTTTCTGATCTTGCTAATGAATTTTATAGGATACTTAGCTATTTAACTCCACCCTAATATTCTTCTGTCTCTTTATTTCATTATTCATTACATCACTCTACTTTGGGTATAATCTTCCATCATGTATGTATACAATTCCTGTATTTCTCATTTATTAATTCAACTATACAAGTTAAAGGAATCATAGACCAAACTAGCTCGATTCAATCAAGAAAAAAATGTTAAACAGGCATGAAGTATGAGTGACCAAACTGTTGTTAACTCTTAAGAATTTAGATAAAACAACAAGAAGAAGACGTAATTTGAACCTGAATCGTGTAATGCTGTATTTGCACACAGCCCATTTCGAACAATCTGATCACACTCACGAACTTGTCATAGGAATGAATGTATATGAAATTCATAAAGAGTTTAGAGGTGAGAAAATAGACAAGTTAGGTCAGGTTGAAAGGACATATTGAAGGTCGAATTAACAATGAAGACCACTACACATTTCCTCAATTTTTGTATCAATCCGATATAAAATCAATTTGGTCAGATGCCTCATGAATAGAGAAAAACGTATCTGTACAGATGACTCTGTAGAAAATGAGCTAGGATACATCCAAAATACGTTGGTCCAAATGGGTTATCCTAGTAGATTTGTAAGGAGACACATGAATACCAGGTACAATAAAGAAAAACTGACAACAGTTAAAAAGAAACAACTGTTCATCAAACTGCAATTTAATGGGGACGTGACTAGCGAAGTCTTACATCTGAGATTATCAAGAGCGATAAAATGGACTTATACTGCCGCCACCCTCTGTTTGTCATTTTCCAGAACCCGTCTTTTACACTTAGCCGAAAGCTATGGGAATACGAGAGAGCAATCCTAGTCATTGCACACAAAAGAAATTTGTTCTACCTTCGTCTCTCCCTTGACCTAGGTGAGATCTAATCAAAACCCTCCCACCCTTTCTTATTTTCCAATCTCCTTCGTACTTCTATGATACTTATTATTTAAACTCTGATTATCTGTCCACATCACCTACCTGTAGTATTACGTAACTTTTAAGATTTGACCTTATTTATTTATTTATTGAATTGTCTACATATACACATATATACATATCACTACCTTTGTTATTCTTATCGCCACCTGCATAAACCTTATTATCAATATTTTGTTATCATTATAATCATCGTTATTAATTTCGTTCACAACATTTACCACATTATTATTATTATTATTATCACTATTATTATCAATATTTGATCCACAAAATCACCGTCATGGTTTAAAATTTTGTATATATAAATCTATGTAAGTTAGAGTAAAGACTGAAGAAGATCTAATTGAAAACAATAATATTGTTCGGTTATATTATCTTGTTCTAATATTATAAATGGGAATATTTAAAGATTTGAAGACCACTAAACCAAATAACAGAGGTAATAGTACACCTATAGTGGATGGTGGTATCAAAGTAACAAAGATTACCAAGGAAGGCTTAATGTGATGACGAATTGTTACTTTGAACGCATAAAGGTGGTTTAAACTTCCTAACTGCCAGCTAAGGCTTCCATAAAGTTTAGGATATGCCCTCTCTCAAACACGTTTTATGGATAGATTTAAAAGATGTGTTAACGTCAATTTCATGTCCTATTCCATCGATAATATGTTTGACAATACACGAGCTAGGTCTCCTGTTCTCACCATTAATGGGTTCTGAAGATTCTATTTGCTTCTGGAGCCATTTAGAAACAGGCTGTGAAGTCAGCCCTTACTTGCAGAGATCAATGAGTCCTCCCTATGTATGTGTGTCCACATGTACATTCAAATTGGCAAATACGGTTGGACGTGACATCATTTTTCGCATGTTCAAAGGGCTTAGATGGATGGATATATTGGCTTCACGTTCTCAATTACTATGATATTAGCTGCATAAAAATTCGTCTTTTTAACAGCAGCGTTCAATCTTTGTCTAGTTATCAAGCTGCTTTGATGCCCCATATTGAGGCAAGACCCACTCTACACCTCGCCCCTAAGGAAGACGTGTACATCAAGCCACCATGTTTACGAAACATATTATCGATGGAATAGGACATGAAATTGACGTTAACACATCTTTTAAATCTATCCATAAAACGTGTTTCAGAGAGGGCGTATCCTAAACTTTATAGAAGCCTTAGCTGGCAGTTAGGAAGTTTAAACCACCTTTATGCGTTCAAAGTAACAATTCGTCATCACATTAAGCCTTCCTTGGTAATCTTTGTTACTTTGATACCACCATCCACTATAGGTGTACTATTACCTCTGTTATTTGGTTTAGCGGTCTTCAAATCTTTAAATATTCCCATTTATAATATTAGAACAAGATAATATAACCGAACAATATTATTGTTTTCAATTAGATCTTCTTCAGTCTTT